TATGAGATATTATGCTAACAGACAGCAGGCTTGACTCCAATAGTTAATGCCAAGGTTTTAGTCAAAGTTCTTTTACAACGCTTTACACTCAAAGTACCAGTATGAATTGTGAACGGCTCTCGTATATTACCAGTTTAGCTCAATATCTGTAAAACTGGCTGAGTTAAAGCCACTTTTGTTTTAGCTGAGGTCAGTTGGCTGTGGCGACCTTCTTGAATTTGTGTCTCGTATTGTGAAGAGTTCCTGCCAACAAACTGTCTGCTTCTTGGCTCCATTTCTTTCACTCCCGATGGACAGAAAGCAAAATTAGCTGAAACCTCCGGAGGGAGTGAATAAAAGCCCCTTGAAGAACATTAACGTATGAGAACACATACATGCGTGTCTTTAACGACACACTTATAGCTATAGAAGAAAAATAAGTCATAAGACAGTTTATAAATTATCACACATGATCTGTATTTACTTCCGGAGATTTAAAAGTAATAAACTCTCAACTGCTGTGCTTTACTGCCATTGCGGATGGGAATTTAAATACAGAGGAAATGCTTGTTTGCTTCGTCCTCCTCCTCATACAGGTCACTTTTCTGTTCAGAGTCATTCATTATAAAGATGTTTTCCTTTTTGCGTGGCAATAGCAGAGCCGTGCCCATTACTGCACCCAGTGATGTTCTCCTCTGTCGTGATGTGCTCCCATCTGGTTTCCAGTGAAAATGCATCACTCCATTAACATTGCCTGTGATCTAGAGGATGCTTTAATCTAAGACTATAAACTCCACTTAATTACATCCTCCAAAGGAGCTCTATTAGTATAATGCAATCAAACAGGGAGCACATCCATTTTGGCAAGTCAAACATGCTCAGATGTCTCTTGAAAGTGTTTACGTTTGTCTTCTGAATCAGATCATAGAATCATATTTGGAAGTTCTGCGTTCAAAGGCCTTTACTGATATTCTTGTGTTTATGGGTAAAACTAAAACGCATTGGGGATGCACATAACATTCAGTTTCTCTGCAGCAAAAAACAACCATAACAAATGAGTTTAGAAGAGTCTAAACAGACTCTCTGTGTGGCACACTGATGACTTTATGCTTGACCTTTCATGCATCTCGCTTCGTAACCTCCAGTCATATTCATAATTGCTGCCTGCGTGTGTGCCTCATTCCAGCTTCCAGCACAGTCTGGCAAGATTTCTCAATGAAATTAAACTTTAAAATGAAGCAAGATGTGGTGGTTTAAAATTGTATACAAATATACTTCGGTAAAACTCATGCCTTGCAGTAACTTCTGACATTGTGTCACAAACAAAAAAATAAAAACACTTTTATCATGCCGTCAACTTTTTTCTTTTAATTTATAATTTGACTGATGTGCTTCTGTAATATTCTCATTAGTACATGGACCTAAAAGAAAAAGATTTTAACATAAACCTAAGCCTGCGTGCTCATTCTAATTAAATTGTACACAAAGATTTAACAATATAAAACACGTATTATGGAATTTTTTATGTTTCTAGAATATTTTCTGGCCCTTTCTTAATTCCAAAAAGTTAGAAATAAGTGAAGATTGTAGCTACAATTTACCACTGGATCAGATACAGAACTACTGATGGGATTCATGGCTGTATGGAAAATAATTTGACTAGTTCCTGTATCACAAAGAAACATTCACATTTTATATACACACTGCACTTTTATGTTGATACTCTCAAACCAGCTGAACCCACAAACTCCAACTTAAATTATGAATTCAGGCATGGAGCCACAAACACAAAGCTTGCATCTAGTGTGACAAATTCTCACTGATTTTATATATTTACCTTTACCAAACTGATAAAATAGCTTGCCTCCTTGAAGTGCACTATAAAATAAAAAATAAAATAAAAACCTGGATTCCACTTTTGAACTATGACTGAGAAATAAATAGCTGAGCTTGATTTAAGACTAAAAATATGTTTAATATACATTAATGTGTATGTATGTGTTAAATCTCTTCTTATTTTGTTTTCTTTCATGAATACACACGTAATATTTTAAAGCTCTCTATAGCGTTAAACTTTTGATTGTCTTTCAATGTAATTATTTCCTGTATTCTAACAAGGTTAAGTCAGGTCATCCGGATGGATTCTTCTTGACTTAACCTTGTTAGATTTTTCTATCTGGATTATTGAGAATGCATCAGGACATCGTTAACTCCTTCCTCACCCTGGCAACAGTTCCCACCTGCCTGAAGACTGTCACCATCATCCCAGTCCCAAAGAGCTCTACAGTGACTTGTCTGAATGACTACTGGCCAGTAGCCCTCACTCCGATAGTCGCTAAATGCTTCAAAAATCTGGTCATGAAATGCATCAAAACAACCATCAACATCAACGAGGACCCTCATCAGTACACATACCGTGAGAATCGATCTACAGAAGACGCCATCTCCTCTGTGGTCCACAATGCTCTCACCCACCTGGAGCAGAAGGACTCCTACGTCTGTATGCTCTTTGTGGACTTCACATCTGCCTTCAACACCATGATCCCCCAAACCCTGATGGACAAATTATTCACACTAGGACTAATCCCCTCTATTTGCAACTGGGTACTAGACTTCTTAACAAACAGATCAGTCTGTGAGGATCCACAACTTCTCCTCCACCATAACCATCAGCACTAGCTCCCCTCAGGGCTGTGTGCTGAGCCCTCTCCTGTTCACTCTGCTCACGTATGACTGTGCACCGGCCCATCCAGGCTGCCATACTGTAAAGTTTGCAGATGATACAGCGGTGGTGGGATGCATCACAAACAACGATGAGTCCAGCTACAGGCAGGAGGAGGAAAACCCGGAGAGCTTGTGCAAGAAGAACTTTCACATCAATATGAAGAAGACGAAGGAGATGGTCGTGGACTTCAGACGGAACAAACACACCTAACTACCCCCCCACACACACACACACACTCCCAAACATAAGAGGATCTGCAGTGTAAGTGGTCTCCAGCTACAAGTACTTGGGTGTGCACCTGAATGACAACCTCAGCTGGGGCAACAACATCACCAGCCTGATCAAGAAAGCTCATCAGAGACTCTACTTCTTTAGGCGGCTGAGACAAGCTGGTCTGGGAAGCTCAGTCCTCACCTCCTTCTACAGGTGTGCAGTGGAGAGCATCCTGTGCTCCAGCATCAACATGTGGCATGGAGGCTGCACAGCTGCAGAAAGAAAAGCTTTGCAGAGAGTGGTGAAGGCTGCACAGAAGTCTGTTGGAGTCAGCCTCCCCACCATCACAGACATCTACACCTCAGGAAGAGGGCCACCTGCACCATGAAGGACCCCACTCACCCAGTATACAAACTTTTTGCCCAGCACCATTCAGGCAGGAGGTTGAGGAGCATTAAGTGTAGAACCACTAGACTGAGGAACAGCTTCTACCCTGAGGCTGTTAGACTCATGAATATATAACCAGAATAATCACTGTGGAAAAATATCACATCATGTTGCCGATGTTTCATGCTGCTGTGTTCATGCGTGCTCATTTGCTCACACAGACTCGTTCGTGCTGCTCTTTGGCGTGTTGTTTATATACTACTAGTGTTTAGTGTATTTTTAGTTAACATTTTTCTTAGATCACATCTTATTACTGTTTTTATTTTTACATTTTATACTTCTGTTGGATGTAACTGAGACCCTGTGTACACAATTTTGTTCCACCTCATGTACCATGTGATGCAAATGACAATAAAGAACCCTGAATCTTGACATGTTTCCTTTATCATTTGCTTGTTTTTACATTGCCTTTTTAAAAAATCTTTCCATTCCTTTTATCTAACAAGTTTTGAATTCAAATAAGTCATTCAATGTTAACACATGAATCATTTAAGTTAAAAACTTTATTTCATTTGAAATATAAATTAAAATGTATCAACAGCTACTGATTTTTTTGAGAAAACTGCTTATTCCCATTTATCTGTGAACTGTCAAAGATAACAGTCTACCGGGAACTTGAACATGAACTTGTCATATTTCAGGATTCTGTGTGTAGCATTGTGTTCCCAACAAACTCTGAGAAAACCAAACAGGTGGAGGACACAAAAAGAAGCAACAGGCTTTAATTTTAAGGACACTGGCAACTTAACCAATAGGATTTTATGTTAATTCAATTCAAAAATACTTTATTAATCCCAGAGGGAAATTATTTGTTGTTGTAACTTGTCATTTCATTAAGAGATGTTATAGATGCTGATGGCTGTAGGCAGGAAGGATCTCTTGTAAAGGTCCATCCCACAGTGGATCCTAAGAAACTGCTAGTTCCAGGATCTCAGTGGTCAGGCACTCAAGCACAGCTGGAAGGTAGATGAGAATGCGTCCACAGAACATCCTTTTCAACTCATTTGAGATTCGGGGCTGTAGTTGAGATATTATTTGAGCTTTTGAGATGTTAATCAGCTGCTGTTGGTTGTAGAAAACTGCCTTGTTGCCATGTATGCTGTTTAAAACATAAAGTCTGCTACACCCCGGACAACTAAAAACATTTGACAGATATGTCGTCAGTTAGCATGTACGCTAACTTCAGTTAGCTTAGCATAACAGCAAGAGCTAAATGATTATTGAGCATGCATCAGGATACTTGTTGCCATGGTTACGCATCATAACAACTGTCCAAAACTAAAAGAGTTTCAGTAAAAATCCTTCCAGCTGCACAGCATCTGATACCAGAGGAAACAATCATCCAAAAAAAAAAAAAGTGATTTGCATCCAGAAAAAGAGGAATTAAAGTTTCCAAAAGCAAAATCTCAGAATGAACGTAACAGAGCTGCTCCAACATGCAGCCACCTGGAGCGGCGCAATTCTAGAAATTAAACCACATAACCACATATAGCTTGTCAGTCAGTAAAGTAAAATAGTAAACAAAAATAAAATATATCCTTAATTCAGCGCAAACATTGCGTTGTCCATAGATATAAAGTGTTGTCTTATGTTTTTTTTTTGGTTTTTTTTTGTATACGTTACATCCGGTATGAATGACGTACTTCCGTTCTAACCATCGTAGAAGGCTATCACAACAATGGCGTCTTGTAGCTCGGTTCGTATTTTGTATTTTAATTGTTAGACCCAGCATTTTGTAGAGCTAACGAAAACTCATCAAATACAGTTATTTTGATAAAGATAATTCGGTCTGCCGGATAAATTAAATCGTATTAGATTTGTTTTCGTTGTTTTAGCTCTTGCTGTTATGCTAAGCTAACTGAAGTTAGCGTACATGCTAACTGTCGACATATCTGTCAAATGTTTTTAGTTGTCCGGGGTGTAGCAGACTTTATGTTTTAAACAACATACATTTATATTGAATATTGTTTATAGTGGGATAACCTGATTTTTTTCCCCAGGAGACTGCCACAGCTAATGAAGAAGAACAGACCGAAACTGTAGCTTCCGAGAAGAGAGAAGCTAGGCTTCGTAAATTCAGAGAGTTGCATTTCAAACGGGTCAGTAGTTCGAACTTTATCAGATATAGTCAATACATGGTAGTACAGTGCTATGCAACGATGGCAAGCTTGGTTATCACGCATGTACTGTTTTAGCTATTAAAGGTTAGGACTTAAAAATAGTCACGTTTACTTTAGTTTATGCGTTTAGTTTTGAGACTAACTCAGAAGATGAGTTTGGCTGCCTAAATATCCAGATGTTACTTGTTAATTTCACTGCAGAACGAAGCACGAAAACTGAACCACCAGGAGGTCGTGGAGGAGGATAAGAGATTGAAACTTCCCACAAACTGGGAAGCTAAGAAAGCCCGACTGGAGTGGGAGCTTGCCGAAGATGAAAAGAAAAAGGTATTTTTCAGCTTTCTGTAATACCAGTGCTAAATTCTTAACCACACCCATCTTTATTTAAATTTTATCTCAACGTAGGCAAATATTTATTTTATTTTTGTCTATCGCCTTGAATTGTTTTTCAGTTTAGTCCTTGTACCCAAACAGAATTAGAACAATAGTTGGTTTTTTTTCAGCCATTTAACATAAACATAACTAAAGGAATGAACTGTGGCTACAAGACAACTTGGCAAATCGTAGGTTTTAGATTGGTTAAACACTTTGTTATAATCAGCTTGTAGGCACAATAACAGGTTTTACCTTAAATATCGATTCTTGCATTATGTCATGTTCATATTCTAAGATAATACTAGGATTCAATAAGCTTACAGATGCACTTATACATGTAGATTGCCACCCTGGAATCCAAACCTAAACTCCACTCCCAAGAGTGTTTAGGATCTAGAAAATGCAAAGCAGGGAGCTAACGGTCTGACTTTGTGTTCATTAAAATTATTTCCCATTGCAGGAATGTGCTGCTTGTGGAGAGGACTATAACAGAGTGAAGCTGCTGGATATCACTGCTGACGAAGCAGAACGATGGGAAAGGAAGAAAAAGAAGAAGAATCCAGACACAGGATTTGCAGGTTTGTGGCCTTATAAAGATAAAATGATGAACATAAGACGGGTAATTTAAGACACATTACTTTTTCCTCTTAAGTGATTAATGTTGGAGTAAGACACACCACTCATCCACACAGCTATCAGAATCTCACCAAAATAATGGGATATTACTGGACTAGTACTGGTAGCTTAATATTCAGATGCTTACATTTTCTAATGGGAGTACACAAGCAAACAGACCCTGTAGAGATTCAAGGTTCTTTATTGTCATTCACATCACGTGGTACATGAGGTGGAATGAAACTATGTACACAGGGTCCCAGTTACATCTGACAAAAATACAAATTGTAAAGAAAAACAGTAATAAGATCCAAGACATGAACTAAGAAATACGCTAAACTAAGAATACATTAAGCACTAATGGTACAAAACAATGCCCCAAACAGCAGCACGAACAGGAGTCTGTGTAGCAGTTGAGGACGAATGAACACAGCAACATGAAATAAATCAGCAGCATGAGATCAGCATCATGGATAGTCAGCAGCACATATCAACAACCAAGTGGCATTACAGTGACTTTTTCCATAGATGCTGGTATGATAGTCAAAATGTGTAAATGACAAAAATCATATCACGGTTTCCCTTTGTCATGAATATGTCTGGATGTTTCTGAAAAGAATTTAATGTGACCATTGGAGTTTTTTATTCTGTTGAATGGTGTGGTACTCTTGAGTACAAATTTCCCACTTGACTGCATTACTATTTAATTTCTACATTGTTCACCGTCTAAAGTTGGCAAGTTTCTTTCAAAGTTTTTTAGTTTTTGAGCACACCCATTTTGCCACAATTTATAATTGAATGAGTAAAAAGAGCAGAATACACTTAACAGAAACTTGATACTGGTTTTGAAATTGTCAAATCAATACGAACTGTGAAAAAAATTATGAGTTCATTTATAATCCAATAAAACTTTTCTAAACAGTTTTCTAAAACTTTTTTTTTGTAATCTCTAGTTTTGTCAGTTTTCAGAAATACATCAATCTCCTGAAGCAAAATAAAACTTACAATAAAAAAATGTAGTTTTTTTTGTTTGTTTGTTTTACTTGAATGAATCAGGCTTGTATGAAAGTGAGCATTCGCTGAATTTGCTTTGAAAGAGATTCACACGCATGTTCCATCCAGCCCAGCGTGCACTCAGAAACCACAAGGATGCCATTCCCTGATTACAAAAGTCACCACCCACATATTCAATTTAATAAATTATTTACTGTGTGATTCACTTTAGTTTGAAGTACAGACAACTGACGGCAGTCTTATTTAGCTTCAGCTGATAAAGATCTAATCTGATGAAACATTTCTCTGTCCCCCAAAGATCTTTAGCATCTAACTTTATTACTAAACATTGTTTCACACACTAAAATAGTTGTCAATTGTATCAGGTAGTAATAATAAAGCAATCTGCATTTACATCAAGCAGTTTTATTTTGGATATAGGCAGCCTTCTCGCACCACAAACTCTGGTCTGTTCGCTGAGAAAACAATACTTCTATACAGATGACTGTTGTAGAAAAGTATTGCACTGATTCTGTTTATTTTGTTGCTGTTTTCCAGCACATAATTGAGAACTTTCTTAATTTTAACATAGAAATAGACACAGAAATATGCTGTACTTCTATAGACATAGAAATGAAACATAGAGGCTGTTAAGACTCATGAATCCCTAACCAGGATAATCACTGTGAAAAAAAATCACTATAATGCTACTTGATTGTTGATATGTGCTGCTGCTGATCTCATGCTGCTGTGTTCATTGGTACTCCTCTGCTCACACACTTGTTCGTGCTGCTGTTCGGCGTATCGTTTTTGTACTATTAGTGCTTAGCGCATTTTTAGTTTAACGTTTTTCTTTGTTCATATCTTAGATCTTATTACTGTTTTTCTTTTACATTTTATACTTTTGTGGGATGTAACTGGGACCCTGTGTACACCATTTTGTTCCACCACATGTGGTGCGTATGACAAAGAAACTTTGAGTTTTGACTTTGAAACGAGATGGAACTGCTTCAGCTTTACATGGTCGCACAGTAAATAGCAGTACTGGCTGCATGTAAGAACGGGATGCAAATCGTTCAAAACAGCTTCTAATTTAATCTGCTGAAGGGAAAATAAAGTTTACTGTGTCTCCTGAATATGGCTGCCATCTGTTGTATTAAACCTTTCCCCTGAATGAAAACCTCTGGAAGAAAATGATCACTAGAGGGGCTTCAAGAGAGGAACGGAGGAGGAGAGGTGCCTCTGTAGACCTCCTTAACTAGCTGCAGGTTGTGTTTCTGAGCCTTGTGCCTGCTTATTGTTTGTTCCACTAATTACATTTTTCTCCTCTCCCCCCGTTTAAAACAAAAAATATATACTACAGGTTATGCAGAAGCTCAGTTCCGACAATACCAGAGACTCACCAAGCAAATCAGACCTGACATGGAAAGCTACGAGAAGCAAAGGGAAGAAAGGTGAGCCAGGCCTCTGTCCCATCATCTTTTTTTTATGTTTTAAATCTTTACCAAGAGTGACCGATGAAAATTCATGTCCTCTGGTATGACAAAATGTCTAAATTCTACTTAATGGCTGTAAAGTAGATCCATGAAAATATGCCTAAACTGAGACCATAGCTGTAAAATACCAAATAGAGGAGAATGACTTTTAACTATTTAATGTTAACAGACCAGAATTCACCTATCACATGTTCATGAAGCATTTATTATATGTTCTGTCATGCAGCCCCTATTTTGCCCCCGGGGTTTGTTTTGCTGCCGCTTCACAATCCAGAAATAATTTAAATGCTTTAAAGTGTAAAACTGATACACATGCATGCTAAGGTCAAGAAGAATTTAGCGCCTGAGGGTTTATACCCTCTAAATGCTGTCATCTGCAGATGTCACAATTTGCCCTGATGCTATATGATGACATTCATAATTAGAGTGATGGAATAGAGAAGTTAATTTAAGTGTCAAGATGTTGATTATCTTTAGTTATGCATTTCTAACTGTTTTGCTGATGCTCTACAGCGGTGAAGACTTCTACCCCACGACTAATAGCCTGATATACGGAACCCATACTCCCACAAAGGAGGGCATTGACCGCATGGTGGAGGATGTCGAGAAACAGTAAGTCCCACTGAGCAGAGATGCATCAAAGTTTTCTTGTCCATTAAGATCCATTCTAGGTGGGGAGATTTCATTGGTCAACCGTGGTACTAAAGCAATGGTAATGGGATATTAGGCATAAAATTAAACGCTGTAAAAAGTTTTGGGTATAATTGAATCTATTAAGAAGCCCTGTTTATAACAACAAGAAAGTGTGGTATTCAACCGCGTTCAACCTCGATCTTTTTAGTTATTAGTTTTGATGATCCAAAAAAAATCATTTTTATTTAATGCATCTCTCTGATTGACAGATCTTTTGCAACACTGGCACACCACAAACATAGTGTGGAGATGCAGTAAGTGTTGGCCATGAGACTGTCTGTGTCTGAACCAGCCTGTCTAATTTTAGAAAAATCAACTCCAGGGTATAAGTTTTGATGCATCGAGGCCATTGTTTCTAAAAGACATAGAGTGAGGCAGCATATATAACTGGTCCACTACAGGTTAAATGAAAGTGGACCGTTTTAACAAAATGTGTTTAAAATGAAGTGTTCGTCGAACAACCTGTACCTTTGGTCTGTTCATTTATTCTTGTTTAAATAAAGTTGCAGGCACAGTGGGTTCAGCACAGCATTTACTGCGCTTCCAAGTTTTGACTTTGATGTGTTGATCATTTTAAGCTTTGGTCATGAGTCCTTCCTTGAGCTGTTTTGTATTTGAGACCGTCTCGGGCCTACATTGGAGATGCAACTGTAGAACATTAGACAAGGATTTAGTTGCCAGAGTGTGACGCACTCTAATCCTTTGAAGACAGAGTAAATCAAGAGTAGGAGCTCACAAATTGACAGTATGTATATGTGTCTTAGGTTTTCCATTGCCACTCTCCTTTGCCAAGTTTAAACCCTTGCTCTCAAATTATTGCCTGTACCAATTATTGTTATTGGATATGCCATGAACAGTGGCCATGCTGGTTTATAAAAATCCTCTTCCTGAGTTGCCTTTCTTTACGATTGTCAGGATCGACAAGCGTGCCAAGTACAGCCGGCGCAGGGCCTACAACGACGACGCAGACATCGACTACATTAACGAGAGGAATGCCAAGTTCAACAAGAAGGCGGAGCGTTTCTACGGCAAATACACGGCAGAAATCAAACAGAACTTGGAGAGAGGAACAGCTGTCTAGCATTCTCAGCCACCTTAGTGATCCACTTTGTTTTGTTGCATATTTACAAGCCAACATATTGTGCATTATAAGTTTTATTGTCATTTAGTGCTGACAACTATCTCTAAGGTATGGCACAGTTGGGAGTTCTTTTGTACAGTAATTATTCTGACATTTATTTTTAAGTAAACCGCTTCTAATTATCTGCTTATCTTGCTTAATTCCTGGTTTTTCTGAGGGTTTACGGTGTGTGGTCTCGTGATGGAGACACTTAAAGCCTGAGAATAAACCACCATCAATCCTCTGGGCATTTTCTGTGGAGGATGTCAGCCAGAGATTTTTTTTTTTTTTTTTTGAGGTGCAGAAAGAGATAAGGACCATCATCGGGTAATCCAATTTATCTTCATCTCGGTGCTAACTTGCCTGAAGGCAGTGACATGACCAGAAAAAAAACCTTGTGACTGAGACTGGAGAGTAAACAGGTTCCCATGAAGTCTGCACTCTGAACTCAGAGCGCAGCTGCATTGCACCCTCTGCAGGAAAGCTGAACGAAACGTTTCTGCAAGACGATCTCAATAACACTGCAACGATGTATATTACACCTTTGAATTATATTTTACTCTGAAGCTGTGATTAGGTACTCTTAATACTTTTGAAGTTCTGTCTGATTCACCTGAGGAGTTGTTTGAGAAGTAATCTTCCATAAATCTACTGTGGCGTATCTCTGTCTGACATGTCTGACTTTCTTAAAGCCAAGTTTCCAAAATTAGTTTTTATGTTAAGCAGAGTTAATTTGATCTAAAGCTTGTAAACATGGTGAAGTGTCAATAGCTGCCTGGAAGCGATTCAAGCGCTTATCCTCATCAAGTCGGGCTAAATCGTGCATTCTTAGAAAATAAATGGCAACTATGTGGGAATTACCTGTGAAACTTTCATTTGCGTCATTCCTTTCCTAGTTCATTAAAACCTGTTGTGATAAGCCTTTGAATCAGATATGTCTATCCCAAGTAATTAATCGGTCTCCGGTCATGTTACAGCAGGAGACGTGCAGTCTGGAAACTATTCCAACTGCAATTTATTCTTATGGATACAACAGCTTGTGACATTCGTCTGAATATTCACTTGATTTATTGCCGATCGGTGGTTACCCACCCAATATTTCACTTGAGTTTGCAAACAGTTGCAGTCGATGTTATCAGTGGCAGTCACAACAGTGAGGAGAGCTGCGTCAGCATTAACACGGTCACTTGTTGTAGCCTGGCAACACTAGATAACACGAAGTTGATTCCAGCTGATGTGTACCATTACACCAGGCCCTCATAAAATGTTTAACGACTGAAGTGGATGGAAACAGTAATCAGATTTTTTATTTAAAGCTAACAGAATACAAAAAGCTGACGATCAGTTAACTTTTTAACCCCAAACACAGCGAAATACTGCAATCGTGTGGACAAGCTTAAAAACTGCAACTTCAGTCTTTACTTCCTCTGCAGTCTAGTGAATTAAATTCAGTTTATATAGCGCCAAGTCACCTCAGGGCACAGCGACGATCCATTTAACCAGCCAACACAGGTTTGAGTCACCATTTAAACAGAGCTAGTCACTTTTTATTTGGAACCAAATCTAGAACTAAATCATTTGTGCCAACGTTGCTGTTGTGAATTGGTGCTTTAATTTGCCCTTTATCTCAGTTGGTAAAAAAAAAAACTCAGGCAATTGTACTTGAACAAATCTTTATTGAATCAATAAATTAAATAAAAAACACAAATGAAAGGAAATAATCCCACCTGAATGAACTCTTCACTTCCTCCCACCTAAATTTTTACATCTGAAAGAAAATTGATCACGAAATGATCACAATGTATACAAAATATTTACAGTATTTACAATGTCCATGTACCCTGCCACATTGAAGAAGCATGGTTTAAGTGCGTTTGCGCAGGCTGGAGTTTTTGCCTGAACCGATTGGGACCCAGTGGCCGTAGGGTTTCCTGCTTTCAACGCTGTCCACTCTGGGAGTTACCTTAGCAGAAGACGGTACCGCAACAGTAGGTTTGGCCACAGAATTCTTAGGAAACAAAAAACAGCATCACCATTAGTTGCATTTAAAACTTACAACTGACTTTCAACATACATTTCTAGTTTGATCACTTACATTGTCACTGAAAGCTATTTTCATTCTTGGAGACATCTTTGGGCTGGATTCATCTGGCTCTGGCTCACTGTCCTATTTCAAAGAAAAAAGAAAAGTGCAAAGTTACTCACGAGTGAGAAATCAATGAGCTTCAGCCTGAGCCTGAAGTTTAGATGGACTTTTACTGCACATTACTAGTACTGGGCTTTACTACAGCACAAATCATACATTCTGTGCTGCTTTCATGCAGGCTTTTCTACAATTAACTTTCAAGGACAGACCTCAAAGCTGAATGAAAACAAATGTAAACAGGACATCTTTGTCTAGACTGGCAGAGTGATGGCGACGCAGGTTACCCAGCCCCCTTCAGCACACTTTGTGTGTACCAACTTATCTTTGGCATATGGAGAGGAGTTCTTCGTCTGTTTATTGTTCGACAGGAATAGTCACTATAATGCAGTCCACACGCTCGTGCTCCATCAGCGAGTGGCAGACTCTGCTAAATAACAATAACCCATTTCATCTGCAAGCATAAATACATTTCAACAGCAAAAAAATCTAAATAGTTTTGTATTTATAATTCTAGATGTGTAATCATTGTATGGAATGTGGGCTAAGCATTAGATGTTCTGCATCAGATACATCAGCATCAGACAACCTTTTCAAAATCGCAAATATTGTTGTCACCCAAGTCAGCCCTTTAATCCCAGGTGCCGATGAGTGAAGGAGATCACTTTCATGTCATCTATGAAGACAGGAATAAATAGAGAGTATCTTTGTTCCCTCGTGGGTCCAAATGACAACACAAAACAGGAAATTCAACAGCACATACCTCAAGCTAAGCAGTAAACAATTGTAGTGATTGGTGCAAACTGAATACAAAGTTGATTAGCTGATCGGTGTAAAATGTTTAAACGAAAACAAAAAATATAAAACCAAGTGTTTACATTTAACTCAAAAACCTTTGTTGAGCAATATATAATTTCTAATTGCTTCCAAGCTTTAAAGCCCTTTTTGTTTCACATCAACAACACTGACGACACCCACCTCTGTCTTTGGGGAGTCTTGCCTCAACCTCGTCATTGGTTCTGGTGAAGACCTTTTAGATTCTGGGTCCTCTGAAAGGATCGGTTTCACACTTTCGGGAAGATCCAGACTTGCCACTCCAAACATCTGCATAGCATTGGTCTTGGCAACTTCAAGGAGCTTCTTTTTGTCTAAGCAATAAAATACAAACGAGTCAGCTGACATTGTAAATGTTAATGTCATCAGTAAAAACTAAAAGTTGTTGATCAACTCACCATGCAAGCTTAGGCTGAGAGACTTGATCGGCGATCTGGATCGTGATCGCCCCCTGTAGGTTCTGGACGGGGAGCGGGAGAACGTGCATCTTAACTGGCTCACGGGTCTCCTGTATCTATACCAGCGTCTGGGGGAACGGGACCTGGAGGGCGACCTGTAGTACCTGCGATGACGGTAATACCTGTCCCAAGAGGGCGAGTGGCTGTACGAGCGAGACCGAGCCCTGTAGCGACGAGGTGGGGAACGGCGATCATAGCGGCTGTGTTTGCCATGGTCATCACAGCGACAACGTGACGATTGCCTGTGACAGCGGGGGTACGAGCGGGACCTGGAGCGGGAGGACGACGAGCTTCCAGAAGATGAGGATGAAGATGAGGACGATGAAGACCCGCACCGTCCCCTGCTGCTTCTACGTCCCCGATCGTTGGAGCTGGTGGAGCAGCTGGTGCTGGCACTGCTGCTTGACCGAGAACGGGAACGGCAGCGAGACGAGTCGGGGCTGTTCTGGTCGAAGATCACACTGAGTCCATCGGTGCGGCGAGCCTGCGCCATGTCATTGTGGGAGTCCACTTGGGCCGCCATTGTTCAATTTGCTGCCGAAGGCTGTGGAAAACGAAGAATATTGCCACTTATTTTTTTTTTAAAGCATTGCAGCCATTGTTCAATTTGCTGCCGAAGGCTGTGGAAAACGAAGAATATTGCCACTTATTTTTTTTTAAAAAGCATTCCATTTAATCCGTTGCGTAACATCTCTTCACAACACTGCCCCTAGCGGCCGAAGCGTCGTTACGTAACTCAACCAGCTAGTTCAGGAAATTTCCAGAAGCTGCACGCTGGCAATGCGTGGGCTGTTTAACTCTAAATTGGATTTTACATTCCGAAACGAAGCAAAAACAATTAACTAAACATTAAACATATATAAAACAAAAAAGAGAAACATTTAAAGGAACATAAAAATCGATTAGGCTCTTTTCTGTTAGCTTACCAGAGTAGGCCGTAAACCCGAAACTCTTCGGAAAGGTCGACAAAAAAAATTTGTTTAAAAAATATATCACCTACAAACACGTATAAGACGATCGATAAGAAATACAGCTAAACTATAAGCCAATAAGCTGATCTCTTGTCAAATAAATCGAGAGAAAGCGTCAACCCTTCTAACGTGCTTCGTCTTCCGTCGTAGTCGCACAAAATGACTGCCAGTAACCGCTACAAGGGTTTTTATGAAGGAGCTTCTGGAAAGTTCCATTCATGGGCGGTCCTGGACGAGCTGTTTTATTTTACCAACTCACACCGAAGACCTTGTTCGGTTGAACTGAAACTATTTCATTCAATTTCACATGTGATTTTTCTTTTTCTAAACAAAATGTGATTAAGTTGCGTTCATACAGAGTAAAAATAGCAAATGTTTTGTTACCATATTGGTCAAATGGATTTGAAGCTGACAGATTTGGTTCGTGTTAAAAGAATCGGCTCATTCAGAAACACCCTCACAAAGGTCCAGAAATGCAGCGTGAACAAATGCTGGTGAAGATTCTCAGTCTAAATAAATGTGTTTAAGGATGAAATTAAGACGCTTCTCAACGATGCATTGAGATTATTCATTCAACTTTTATTTATACAGGTTAGTTTCACAGAGTCAAGTGGACTATTTTATTACTTTTTTAATATTACATTTTATTACTATTCATCAAGGGCTATTTGGCTCCCTGACAAATTCAGAATTGAATTCAAAATCTTACTCCTAACCTACAAAGCTCTCAACAACCTAGCTCCATCTTATATTACAGAGCTTATTGTTCCATATTTTCCAAACAGAGCACTTCACTTACTCGCGATTCCTAGAGTTTACAAAAGCAGAATGGGAGGAAGATACATCAGTTTTAAGACTGGGCCTTTTTGATAAATCCTATAATTAGGGTTGGCTTGTTATGTTGCCATAGGCTTAGACCACTGGAGGACCAATTCACCTCATTTCCTTAAATGAGTTGCTAAAATTGAACAGTTTTCCATTTGATGCTATTTCGATCTTATGTGATTCTTGACCTGCCAATGTGTCTGTTCCTATATCTAACCCAGCTAGTCGAAGATAGCCGCTTGTCCTGAGCCTGGTTCTGCTAAAGGTTTCTTCCTCATGAGGGAGGTTTCCCTTTCCACTGTTGCCTTCATGCTGAAGATGAGAGTTCTGCAATGGAGTTAAACTCAAAGCAGTCTGCTCCTCAGATAAATAGTGTTAACTTATACATTGTTATAAATCAATGTTTCTGTTCAGTGCCCTGAGATGCCTTCTGTTGTGACTTGGCAAAGTTGGTTCTATATAAGTGAATTGAAATTATACTGTGATTGTACCTTGAAAAACTATTTAAGATCACATTTGACATTTTTGTATTCTCCTGCGTTTCACTGGGCTTTTTAACCGATTGCAATCCACATCTTTGCTATACCAAAATGTACAGTAAACTGAGAATAGACACTCCAGATGAATGCAAAATTGGACAGGGTCTTTGAAAACAATGGAAATTAATTGAAACATGTATTTTATCTCTATCTTAAACATGAGTTGTGATGGATTAGATCACTATCAAGTTGCACAGGGTGGTATTGATGCACAGGTTTTATTGACAGCACAAAGGAGTATAAACAAAGTCAAAGTCCTACAATCTGAACTGGCTTTAAGAAAACAGTCATTTGCTTCCACAATGTTTGAAAGAATGAGTCAGACACAAATCTCACAAGTGGAGAGGAGTTCAAAATACAAGCAGCAAAGAAGAAAGAAGTTTAGTTAAATTTTATATATCCGTCACGTCGTGGGCCTCGTCCCATGCTGTCACGTCATGGGCCTCGTCACCCCCCGTCACGTTATGGGCCTCATTCCATGCCATCACGTTGTGGGCCTCGTCGCCCCCCGTCACATCGTGGGCCTCGTCGCCCCCCGTCACATCGTGGGCCTCGTCGTCCCCCGTCACATTGTGGGCCTCGTCCCATGCCGTCACGTCGTGGGCCTCGTCCCATGCCGTCACATTGTGGGCCTCGTCACCCCCCGTCACGTCGTGGGCCTCGTCCCATGCCGTCACATTGTGGGCCTCGTCACCCCCCGTCACGTCGTGGACCTCGTCGCCCCCCGTCACGTTGTGGGCCTTGTCCCATGCCATCACGTCGTGGGCCTCGTCACCCCCCGTCACGTTATGGGCCTCATTCCATGCCGTCACGTTGTGGGCCTCGTCGCCCCCCGTCACATTGTGGGCCTCGTCCCATGCCGTCACTTCTAAATACCTTTTCATAATCTCATTCTGGGACAGAACTGCATGAACAAAGATCGATTACTGTGAGACAGCAACTTAGACACGTTTATCAGCTCAGATATAACTCAGGAATTTGTTAAGGTACTTCTTGCACATAGACTCATTTCGTTTCGTATACTCACATCGACTCATAGTACAGACTCATACATTTGTACATTTTCATCTTTAAATCACTTCTCGGCCTGTTGCCTTCATACATCTCCTCCTACATGTCTCTGTGCGAGTGCAACTACAGCGTGCACTCTCAGGACATCATTACCTGCAGTGTTCCCTCAGTGCAAACTGAACTAGAGAAAAGGGCCTTCTCCTACTCCGTTCCTGTTTCCTGGAATATTTTGCAAAAAGATCTGAAGCTCTCGACCTTGACCTCTCTAAGTGGCTTTAAAAATCTGGCTAAAACCAATGCAGACATGTTCCTGTTTTTAGTATTCTACATTGCTTTATAATCTAGCTGTTTTTTGTTTAGATTTGTAAAAAAAATAAAAAATGAAATTTGTATGCCTCTTATGATTGTATTCACTGTTGTCATCACTCTTTAAGAAATCTGGTCTCTTGTAAATGAGCCCCCGAGGCTCAATGGGATTAACCTGTCTAAATAAAGGTTGAATGAATGAATTTCCTAACATCTACTCTAGTAAATTTAATTAGTAAATTTTACAGCTTAAAGAAAACCCAATCTTCAGACTGCCAGTAAATCCAGTTGTCTTCACACTTGCTAGGATTACCATTAGGGATTAAACTGCTCCAAACTCACCGGCATTAAGAGCTAAAAACCACAGCCATTTGTAGCTAAATGAATTGAGCTGAACTTTAAGTTTTATCACTAAAAAGTTTTTAGTAAAAACGTTCACCAGCAGACCAAGTCACCACAATATGTTCACAAGTCCCATTTAACACAAATCATTCACTTTAAAAAAAAAAGTGTGTGTCTGTATACAAACTTTTTCTGAGCCACACAACTGCCACAAAAATAGTCAGAACCCAAGCACCTCTCATGGTCCCTGTCTCTTTGCTGACTCAACCAACATCTGAGGATTAAGCAGTTCAATCTTCAGGTATCACGCAGCTGTATGTAATTTGTTGTGATTGGTTCTCCCTTGGGCAGCGCGGTGGAGCAGTTGGTAGAGCTGCCGCCTCTCAGCGAGCAGGCCGCCTTGGTTCAAATCCCAGCCGGGGGCCTTTCTGGGTAGAATTAGCATGTTCTCTCCATCGTGCATGCATGGGTTTTCCCCGGGTATGCTGGTTTCCTCCCACAGACCAAAAACATTTATGCTGGGCTAACTGGTAACTCTAAATTGTCCCAAGAGAGAGAGTGAATGCTTGTTTATCTCATTTGTCTCTGTGTCCTGTGATGGACTTGCGACGTGTCCAGGGGGTGTACCCTGCCGCTCGCACAGTGATGGATGGACTTGGGCAATGGTGACCCCCACGACCTGAAAAGGAAGAAGCGGGTAAAAGATAATGGATGGATGGTTCTCCCATCAAATTTAATCCATGCACAAGGACACTCAAGCTGTTATGTGACAAGGATAAAGCATACCATCATATTTATTTTATATATATTTGTAGAGTTCATTTTTATTGTAAGTAGTAAAAATGATAAATACTGGGTGCAGCTGAAACAAATAAACAAGTTACCTAAGACCTCATTTGTTTAAAGTCTCCTGGTCCTTTTTAGGTTTATATAAAATAGAAATAGCAATCATTAGACCAGAATTTTAGATGAATCAAATTAAACGATTACAATCGGTTTCAGTATACACTGGAGAGATGTTAGCATTATTATTAGCAGAGCAGATAGAGGAAGTAAGCCCATTAAAAACAATAGTTTGTTCAAATTCAAAGTTAGCACTTACAAGTTTACAGCACATCCATTCAGAAAGCAGACCAGACATTATATTATAAATACAGCAATAGTTTTTCAGAATATACATGATGGGTTTGGAAGTTCCTGGTACTTTATTATGGGTATTAGCAACGTATCAAGGTTGAAGGAAACAAAGCAGCTGACAGGGACAAGTTTCCTTTACAATAACCACAAGCAAGTCTAACGCAAGGATCATCGCTAAACAAAAACTGAAGGGAAAGTGGCAGAAAGAATGGAATAAAGAAATCAAAATTAGATGGTATTATAAGATTCAAAGAAGAGTGGGAGAGATGAGAACAGGAAGAAGAGATTATTAACAAGAATGAGATTTGGACACAATGGACTTAATAGTACACTATTCAGAATAAACCAGCATAAAACAGGATGTTGTCAGCATTGTGGAGAGTCTGAAAGAACAGAGCATGTGATTTTAGTTTGCCAGAAATATGAGATGGAGAGAAGATGAATGATGGGGGAAGTTTAAAAGATTAACAAAACATTTAATGTCTCAGTTATACACCAAAAAGTGTCAGGAAGTAAAAGTGCTCAAATTGTAGTATTAGATTCTTCAAGAAAAGAAAGCTGATTAATAGATTATGATCATGGACAACACATTGTTACATGTTATGATCAATTCTGTGTGATGTATAAATTTTATCCCCCTAAAGTTGAATTTACCAGATTACTTAAAGCATTACCAGAACAATTGATTAATCAGATTCAAAATATAAAAGCATATCATCCTAGAACCCCACAATTACCCACTCTATCTATTAATGGAATATCATTTACTGACAAAAAATAAATAAATACATAATAACCATACAATTAGAAGCTGTCTTGAAACTTTATTCCCTGGGAAAATAAATAAAAACATACTTTGCAAATTTGAACAAAAAAAAAAAAAATCAATTGAAATGTTAAGAACTCTATTTAAAACTCCCCATACAACCAAAGGTTAAAGAAACACACTTTAAAATTTTTTTATGCAATTTACCCCTCCAAAGAGCTACTAAGAAATCGTTTTAATATTGATGACAATAAATGCTCATTCTGTGAACAGGATATAGAAACAATAGACCATATCTATATGAATGCAACAAAACCAAAATACTTTGGAATCACTTACAAAGATGGATCACCCTGAAAATTACACCTCCTGAATCTATTTCCAGAGACATGGTAACGTTTGGAGTATTATTCAAAAACAAAAACAAAAATGGAACTTGGTTGTAATCTGATTTTTTTTTTTTTTTGGTCTGGCAAAATTCTTTATTCATAGAGAGTGATAAAATCACGTCCCGTTTTTAACATTTTTTTTTCTGAATTCCAATTATATTTGAAATCTCTGAAATATATTGAAACATATACTGTATGAAATGTTAATGGAATTGCCCACTAATGCATGCTAATCCTAAAATATATACCCTTGTTATAGTTTATTTATTTTTGTATTATTTTTACCTTATCATTCTTTAATCAGTTTTTGCTTTGATGTTCCCAGTCTGCCTCTACCATGCACTTTTTAGAGTGAATTGCATTACTTCATTGTACTTGTTTTTCATAGTTAAAAAAACAATCATACACAATAGGTAGTTATTCTGATTTTTACCAGAAGGTGGCAGTAATACACAATTTATGTTGTTTGGTAACCGCTAAAGAAAAACCAAAGAACGCGCATAGGTTTGGTGCAGTAATTCCTTCCAGTCGATAGAGGGCGCAGCTGCAACATAGTCGGGCAGACGTAGCTGTGCGAGAAGAAGAGACAGAACGTAATAAACTCCTCACATAGTCTATCGCCTGATCGTACAACGAACTTGAAGCTTGCTCGCTGCTCAGACGCTGCTTAGAGATGGATATCCTCACCTTGTTGCCCTCCAGCTTCGGATATGTCATATTTACTTACCTGTACAGCTGGATTATGCTGGGTTATTTAGCAGTCAAGGTTGGAGGCGCGAGGAAAAAATACAACGTCACGGTAAACTTGCGTTTACTGGGGAAAAATACGAAACACTCTTTTATTTTTTTTGCGAGCAACCTGTTTTATACGTGTTTATAAGTTATTCGAAAGCGTCTCGTGTCGTGTGTGTGCTTTATATTGCAGTACCCCACCATGTACAGCGACAAGGAGCAGGTCTTCAACTGCATCCAGAGAGCCCACCAGAACACCTTGGAGGTGTACCCCCAGTGGCTCGTTTTCCAAACCATTGCAGCCCTCGTTTATCCGGTATTTGCAATTGCGTAACATGCCTAATCACTCACACCTACAGGGTGTTTCATCACCTTTTGGTGGTGCACTCACTGAAGTGGTCACGGATGAAGGTGCAGAAGCCGCTCCCTGTGATCTTTGACTTAAATTTTACTGATAGCAGAGACACGTCAATAGAAAACTCTGGCTGTGTCACAATGACTAAGCACTTTTTTCCTGATTCTAATGCACACTTTCTTTTTTTTTTTTTTCCAGTTATCTGCAGCTGTGCTGGGAGCCATTTGGGTGACCAGTAGGTTTTCCTATGCCTGGGGCTACTACACAGGAAGTGAGATTCTGCAGCATTATTTGTCTTGTAGTTGCACAAAATGATATTTAAGGTGCAAAGGCTCAAGCCCAGATTTTAGAAGTCAGAGTTCAGTGTTTGCTTTTGCGTGATTGTTGCTCCACACCTTGCTTTGTTTAATTATTTACACAAGATAGGAAATAAGTTAAAGGTTACTAAAGAAAGACATGTAATGATGACCCTTGTTGAGCTACAAGAGACTAAATTATGGGATTTTTTTTCCAGGATGTTTTTAACAATACCACTAAATGCTTTGTTTTGTTCCAGATCCAGCCAAGAGGATGAATGGTGCTTATGGTTACATTGGATACTTTGGCGTCATCATCCTGTCCATATCTGTCGCCCTGCAGCTGCTTGGAGTCTTTTAAGCTAATTGTCAGCCTGGCTTTGCCCACTGCTTGATGAGTTTAATGGCTCAATAATTAAAAGCACGGCAGTAATAACATTTTTATGTTGTATTTTCTTTAAAAAAAATAAATAAAATCCATATGTTTTATATAGACCACTAACTTGAAATCACAGCTTTTCTATAATTTCTATATGCAAGTGATTATCAGTAAACTATATTGACTATTTTTATAGCCTCTAATGTATTTTCTATGTAGCCTCTTCATAGTACGTATTTGCATTGCTGTATATCAACTCTTCAAATCTTTATTACAATGTTTTTTTTTTCTTTTTCTAAAGGTTCTTGTTTGAGATGAAACTGTTGTTTTCCAATGAAACATTGATTTAACCTTTTTTTTTAATTTAGCTGGAATCCTAGTCATAAGCAATAAATCCAAATAAAGAAGCATGAAAATAAACGTTTCTCAATAATCTTTCACACGCACGCGTTTTATGTAAATTATATTTTGATAATTTTATGTATTATTGCCTAGTGAATATACATTTAATGGTTGTGTTTTCAGTGTATAAACGAATTAATCATTTTTGCTCACTTTAATATTGAGCCAAGTGTGTTAACTGGTAAAATATGAAGGATTTTCTTGGGAAAAAATTAGAATGGCACTGGGTAAAAATATACACATTAGACAGCAGTTTTGTATTTTAAATATCTATGTATTTTAAATCTCTAACACGTCAGTTATGTAAAACATGCGTTTTGTGAGTTTTTATCTCGACCAAAAATTCTCATTTTGTGCTCGTCACCTGAAGGCACCATCAACAAAGGCTTTTTTCATCTAGTGGGTGTGGATGAACTGCGCATGTGCACCAGTGAGCGTTTTTGTCGGAAGCCAAGTGTCGTTTTAACCAAAGCGTTCACGTTATAAAACGAACATTAAAAGGTAAATATCCTTTGAAAGTTACTTCAAAACATAACTCTTACGATTTATTGCTTGCTCTTATTTGTAACTACCGCTGTCAGTGTTGGTTTGTGATGTTGTTGGTCAGGACTTTGTAACAAGAAACCTTCAAGGAAACGTTTGCTAGCGTCAAAGCCGAGGGACAAAAGAGTGCGACGACACAACCGTTTTATGCTTTAAAAGTATTTTCTGTTCCACAAATTATTAACAGCACACGTTCACCCTATTGTCATCGAATTATTGTAACAAATGTGCTGGTTTGAGGTGTAAATCTCGAGTTACAGTAGAGCTTGTTGGCGCTGGCGAGCAAAAAGATTTAGCATCATCCCTACAGCGACTGCGCAGTTCATCAGACTCCATGGCACCTTCAGGGTCATTTTACCTTTACCTGTTCGTTGTGTGACGACACGCGTGACCGATTATTGATTTGTTTTTGTGCTTTTATGGACATTTCCCAGAGTCATGTCGGGATTTATGGACGGAATCCGCTGTGGAGACTGTGAGTGCAATGTTGACTGGGGAGAACGGAGAAACACCATCGCATCTATAGCTGCTGGAGTTCTGGTATTTACACAGATTTCCTGAGTTCTGTCATACATGTCAACAGAAGGGTAGTGTATACTGCTTTACCTGTGTTTATGATCAAATGTGCCTAACGGGGTTTATTTTCCATTTCAACACATGAATCTTGTTTCAGTTCTTCACAGGTTGGTGGATTATCATTGACGCAGCCGTGAAATATCCAGACCAGGGAGAATTTCATCACGCCTATCACACATGTGGTGTTATCGCAACAGTGGCCTTCCTCATGTAAGAAAATAATTCTGTATAATACACCTTAAAGTGTAAACACGTCGAGCTTTAAGCTTAGAGCGCCATTAATAACTCGTAGCGGTCATCACATGGCCTCATTTTGTAGTTCGTCATGTGAGGATTACGTCAAGCTTTTCTATGGTTTCTGTTTAATTAGGAACTCTTGACGTTAGATGCTAATGATTTCAGCCATCGTTCTTATCAACTTCAGCTTTTTTTGCATGGCTGCTATCTGTTATGATGCGATAACAACTAATCAATCTGCATATCAATGGAGCAGAGCGTTGTCTTGTGCCTGCAGCTGAAAACGATGTTTTCAGTCACACCAAATTTCAGATTGTGGTTTGAAACCTTTGTTTTGCCATCGCCTGACCAAATTTAAGAAACAATATTTAGTGCTATTGTAACTTTAAATTCCTTTATTTGACTTGTGTAGGATAAATGCTGTTTCTAACGGCCAGGTGAGAGGAGACAGCTATAGTGAAGGCTGCATGGGACAGACAGGTTTGTATGTGTATGATGGGGTGCAATGTTTCAGAAAATGTTTTCTATTAGTTTTTGGTCCTTTTTAAATTCCTATACCTAATTTTGGCTAATATTTAGCATTATCTTTACAACTCAAGCAGTAAATTTACTACGTCTCATCACCAAGTGAACCGCCCTTCCTTATCTTGTCTCGCAGGCGCTCGAGTGTGGCTCTTTATTGGCTTCATGTTGGCTTTCGGTTCCCTCATTGCCTCCATGTGGATTCTTTTTGGAGGATTTGTAGTGCCTCGTAAGTGCTGTTTATCTACTCAGCGCAACAGTTTGCCCTCGGTGCTCAGCTGTCAGTTTAGGGGTGTGACATGAAGCATTTTTTAGTGCTGAGCAATGTGGAAGCACTTCTTGAAACTTTTGCGGTAGATGTTTGAATATAATACAGGTGGAAAATAAGATGTGAAGGTTTGTAATCTTGCTGTAACGGTTTGATTTTGCAGAGAAGCCTGCTGTGTACCCGGGTATTGCCATTTTCTTCCAAAATGCCTTCATTTTCTTTGGGTAAGTTAATAACATATTTACTTGATTTCTTACAAATAATTCTGCAAATAGCAACATGGTGAGCCTAACCTTATTTTTTCTTAATTTAGGGGTTTGGTCTTCAAGTTTGGGCGCACAGAGGATCTTTGGCAGTAAAGGACTGTGTGACTGTACGGCTACAATTATACACTCTGCTTCCTATACTGTATGAGAGTTCAACTGTTATTCACTTTATGTAAAAACACTTTTTTTGTTTTGCTTTCCCCATTAAAATGTTTATTTATGTGCTCTGCTGTATATTAGCTAAATCATAACTAAGCACAATCTTCATAGGTTTCTTGAAATGTTAAACCTTTTCAATGGTGGCACATCTTTAAATGTCTGTTTGCACGCAGACTGTGCAGCCATGTTGTTTAAAGTGGTTTACCTGTGTGTGTGTATAACAGAATGTAAATATGGGAGCTTTGCTACAACTTTCCTGTGGGGTAGACTTTCTTTTCTATTATAACAGTGTTTAATTTGAACGATGACCGAGTGAGAATTAAAGAATTGTGGTACAAATTATCACAATGAGCAAAGTTTCGTAACAGCGAATGGTTTTTATTAAACTTGGCCATGGGATCATTTGTATTTTTCTTGTAGTAACAGTTCATCAGCCATGAAGTTACCGGTAGTCAGATTTATTGGATTTTATAAGCCCACACTACAGATTTGAAGTCAGCAAAGAGTTTCACAACAATAGGGTGTTTTGGGAAAAAAAAAAAAAAAAAGATTTCCATTTAGATGCAACTCGTCTCCATAGGTTTTGTAACATTTATCAGTTTCTTACATTTGCAGCATTAAACTTACTGCGCACTAAATCAGTCTGGCATTCCTCTTTTCACAATCCAGTCCATTCGCACAAATATATCTGACAACTATATTTAGTAAAAGTAAGAAAGTGTGTATAAAATTATATACAGTGGTTAGAATTGATGCTAAAATTCGATGCTTTTCTCAAGATCAGATTCAGAACATCACTTCTTTCTCTTCGTTCTTGCTCTTCCTACTTGCGCTCTGCAAGGTGGGGAAACTAGAAAAGCACAAAATTTGTTCAAAACAGCTTCATAAATTTAAGTTGCTAAAGAAAAATACAACAATACCAGTGTATACCTCCCAGAAAGCTTGATCATCAAAGCATTTATTGTCTTGAGCGGGTCTCCAGAGGTTCAATTTGAGTAGAAATCCTTCAGAGTACAAAGAATCGTGCAGTACAAATGGCAGAACCAGTCGTTATCCATTAAATTATTTCTAAAATAAGTATGATAGCTTTAACCAGAGCTCTTGTTAATAGCAGAAAGCGTACTAAGAAGATATACCTGTTAGGATTCCCATGATCAGACTTATGGTGACTGTGATGAAGAGAGTACAAATGTGGAACACAGCAAATCGGATCGCCCTGAAATGTAAATGAAACAATTCTGCAGGGTTGTCACACCACCTGTTTGTTAACCTGCTGGTTGCATTCTTACAGGGTGTGATCGTCAAAGGCTTTAATCTGCAGGACGAGTTGTGCGAGCCATCCCAGCAGACCTGGGAGTCCGTGTGTGCTCATGATGGCACAGGTATCATGGCACTCGAACGCAATGAGCATGTGCGTCTGTAGAATAAATGAGGGTTATGATGTCAGGAGGACTTTTTTTTTCCCCAAGAAAATTGAAAAAAAAGCAAAAACCTTAAGATATTTGAATCCAATAGTGGATATAATGGCTGCAGCGAATCCGATTGTCATGGCTTCCCAAGGCTGATGTATCGCTGATATAGAAACTCCGACGGCAACGCCACCTGCCAGGATGCTTGACTGCAACTGGATCTGATTGAGCAGAGAAAACAAGCCTGTATATCAAGTGTAGATGGACTCGTTTGATTTTTGGGTTTACCGTGATTTTGTCTATGAAGCTGCTTAATGTTACCGTTTAAAACGTCAGCTCGTACCAGGTTGAGTTTACCCTTTGGGTTGCAGAGCACAGATACTGCAGCTGCCGTTACAGCACTAACAGCAAGGGCCAGGTAGGTGCTGCTCACAGCCCCCAGCTTCCTCCAAGGAGTACGGTCGTCCACAAGCATCGAGTTAAAAGTGGGCCAAAACATCCAGAGAAACAAAGTGCCTGGAGAACAAAGACCACACCCAACAAAATGTTGATTTTAGAGTGGTTTGAAATGAAACATTCAGGAGAAAAGCCGGTTATAATCACCCAACATGGAGAACAATCCTGATTTTCTGTCAAACTTCTCTTTTTCAAACCCCTGCTCTGAGCCTTTCCGGTTCAGGATCCACATCAGCATGAGTCCAAAGAGGGCCCCGAACACGTGAAGCAGCATGATGCCGTTCAGAGGTCTCACCTGAAGGCACAAGAACTCAGCATGTGTTGCCAAGTACACTGAAAATACAACATAGGGTGGAAATCTGGGGGCAGGTGCTTACTTTCAGGAGAGTCTGGAGGAGCCATTCGTTTAGGACCAACCCTGACACCTCCAGCAGGGCGATGAGGGTGAGGTGGACTGGGTTGGTCTTCCCCAGCACGGCTCCAATTGAAATGAGTGCTGAAGCTGCATACAACTCGGCAACAGCAATGCTATAAAAAAAGATCTCTTTGGAGTCAGCACAGTGCAAACCTTACATCATAAAATTAAAAATACAATGGGTCTGATGTTAAAACAAGACATCCTACCTTTTCAAATCAACCCTTATCTTTCCTGTGTAATACCAGAACTTAATGCCGTTCAGTATAATTCCCCATTGGGTGGCAATGGCAGCAACAAGGAGGTTGAACCCAGAGCCACTGAAACCATACCGCACGAGAAAGGTGCACAGGAAGCCAAAACCCAGAATGACCATCACATTCACATCCTGGTACTCTGCAAGAGAGGAGAGGCTCTCAGACTCTGCATGCACGTCAACAAAACTGGCATGTGCAAGTTAGTTGAAAACAATATTCATCACGTTTAAGTTACACTAACTTGATAAAATGTCTTGTTCTGACTGTCTTCTCCTCCACTTGATTTAAGAACTCACCTGGGTAAAAGTTGATGAAAGCATGCCTATCACCTGTTTCTTTGATTTCAAAGTAAAAGGCAGACAAGATGATGAATCCAGTCTGAAGACAAAGCAACAGAGGGGCCAAACGGGAGCGCAGACTTGGAGCGTATTTAGGAGCCATTGGAGAGGTTTTCTGCGCACTTCTGCATCTGACGCATAATCGGTCACAACAGAGATGGGCTTAAAAGTGGGCGCAACCAGCACAGCTCTTTATCAGCAGCTGGACATGAGGACATTTTTGTCCACACACGCACACACACACACGCACACACACACAAACGTAATCATGAAAAAAATGACTATACTTTTAATTTAATTTTTAAAGATTGGGATTTTAGGGTGGTCATAACTTTTCAAAATGTTTTCCATAATTTTCTAAGACTAAATTTTTATTATAATTTAAACAGTAAAGCTGATATAAGTAACTTGTAAATTACATCCTTATTTGTTGTCAAACAGCTATGTTTGCTTTCACAGTGCACTGTAAATTGGATTTAACGCCTTGGGCCAAGCATGTTCATGTAGTGATCTACTCACAAAGGCCCTGATATAAATAGCTCTCTCTGTTAAAGTGGATGTTTTTTGAAGTGACACAAAGATTTTTTTTCGCCAAAGACTGCATGTTTCTTCCTCATAATAAACCACAGCCATAAACCTTTGTAAAAGCCCGCCCCCTCGCTCATTTAATTGGTTAATCAGCTATTCCCCGATTTGTACACAAAGATTTGATTGGTTAATTGGCCAGCAATTCCAAATGCAGCCTTCACGTTCTTCCTCGGGGGACGAGCTGAACGAGCGGTTTTGCTGAAAGCTGATTGGCTTGCGTCTGCGTCAGTCAAATAAAGAAGCCGCTGCGGACAATTTGATTGGTCAGTCCCCGTCTGACAGCTAGACGTATGTAAAACACAGCGCGGTTTGTGTGTATTGAGTCTGCGCTAACAGAAAAAGAGGAGGGTCTAGAACAGAGTCCTTTATTTATTTCTTTGTGTTCAGCGGTGGTAAAAAATATTAATAACGGCGAGATACACAGCAGTCATTTTATTTATCATTTTTGTCCGTATACACTATAAAACTGGATAAGATTATAGCTGTTACTCGAAGGCCGAAGCCAAGGGGAGGAGGATGAAGCGGCGCAATGCGGACTGCAGCAAACTAAGACGGCCGTTAAAACGGAACCGAATCACCGAGGGTATCTACGGCAGGTAACTTATGGAGCCACGGAATAGGTCTTCTTCACAGGAGCATATCCAAGCAGGGACTAGATTTACTTTCAGTGCAGTGAACTCCCACCGCTGGATAAACCGTTAACCTAGCCGCACTAGCTTTGTTGTCGTTCTACACTAGCAGGTAACGTTAGCTGTTGAGCTAGCTGTGCTGCTAGGCCTCAAAACAGCCTGTTTTGAACGTTATCACAGGACTTGTTTTACAATAGCTTTAATCATATAAGCCACAGATCGTTATAACAAAACTATTCAGACTAACTCTTGCCCACATGAATCGACATCTGTCAACTCGAGCTGCTTCCTGTTTAGTAAAGCTAACTTGGGTCACTGACTTCTGGGGACCCTGGTGTTTAAACCAGGTTGTCCTGACAGGTTCCATTATATCTGATCAACCTGCAGTTCAACATTAAGGTCTAAAGATATGTCTCTATGATCTTTAACAGGTCATAAACACATCTCAAATGAGCTGTAGTCAAATATGGTTTAACTTTGAGAAATGAGAATAAATCGCACCATTTTGCAATTTTATGTGACTGAGAGGTAGCTATATTAATAAAAATACAAAGAAAATGAAACAATGGTATTTAGTGAGCTAGATTTACAACACTGGATAAGTTTGCATGATATCCACATACTCAAATCAGAGCACCGTAGAACACTCTTATACTGTCTCCAAAAGTATGACTGTGTTTTTATCCATAATTTAACATAAGCTGCTTGGACTAAGTGCATCACACACTCACATTTAATCTGCCAAACAGGCTCCAGGCACATCTCTTACACTTGAGTCATCCCACACAACGGTCAGCATGAATATACCAGTAAAAGTGTAGAGCATAAAGATGGGTGTTGTTGTCAAATGACAGTGTGTTTGTGGTAGATAAATCTACTTTCTCTCTTTTTCAATTTTTAGTACTTTCCTGTACCTGAAGTTCCTGGTGGTGTGGGCACTAGTGCTACTGGCAGACTTTGTACTTGAATTCAGGTTTGAGTACCTCTGGCCTTTCTGGCTCTTCATGCGGAGTGTATATGACTCCTTTAGATACCAGGGACTGGTGAGTAGTAATTAACAAACATTTATAATGTTGTAATAAAGTTGAAGGATGTACACAAACAAGCTTTTCAAAGGCCACATATAATCTCTGAGAGACCCTTGTAGAGAAGACCATTTGAGCTATGTGCTCTTTCAGAATTTAGATATGTGGTGTGCAGATTTGATACCATTTATGCTATAAAACCAATGCTGCATCTTTTGTATTCTAAGTAATCCTACATTAAAACAAATATGACAATAAAACTAAAAGAAATGCAAGTAATATATGACAGGGTAAAGTTACCATAATAAAACTACAGGTTCACATATACGCTACATTCATTACAGAACATCTATGATTTTACCAAACATATGGAAGCTCTCACTCATAAATGCAAACTTGTTTCATTTGAATTGTCAGGTTTTTTTTTCTACTTTTTTGTATGTGCATGATTAGTTCAATTATCGTTAAAGTAACTGAGTGGAGTTTGGTCAAAGTTAAGAAGCTACAAGTAACTTCCTCTGTATCTAACAAGCTGAGTTCTAGAGCAGCTGCAGAGTAGTTTTGACATTTAGGTGTAATCTTTTGGCTGCTCCCTTCCTCAGGGGTCGCAGCAGTGAACTAACTCACTCGAAGACTTGCCAATTGTTTTTATGTCGAATGCCTTAGGTGTAATAAAAAAAATTCAGATCTTTTAGCAGAAATTAGGCCCATCACAATTACCGGTATTGCATTCTCAAGCAGCTTAAAATCAAGCATGGGAGCAACTTTTTTTTGATTAATCTTTTATTTTTATTAAAACAATAGATTTGTAGCACAACACAGACTTTTCCATAATGCAGTGTAGATGTATAAAAAAATTAAGCCATAATAATAAAATAACAATAAAAGCCATAATTTAATTTAATAATAATTTAATAAGCGTACTATTCAATTTCCAAAACAAGACATTTTACTTTAATCTTTTATACATAGATTCTCTATGATCAATCTTTCAGTTAATCAATCAACCCAATACCTAAATTTAGTATAAGAATGATTATTTATTGTTGTTTGACTTAACCTTTAGTCCCTGAATGGTACTGGACAGCTTGTTCTTTTTTTAAATGTATTGTGTGGGTATCTGTTTGAGAGATGTGACAAATTAAAATGCTAATTTTAATTATATTTTTTGACCTTGCTTATTGCTCATAAATGCAGAGTAAGTTTTACCATATTTTCACTTAAATAAGCAATTTAAATATGGCATTCTAGTTTTTTCCACCAACATTTATTAGTGTCAGTAAATCATGTGAATTTATGCTTTTTTTGCTGTTTTGAAAAAGTTTGGTTTTAAAACTGGAATTTTGTTTGAGTACAAAAACTAGGAAGCTTCTCTTATATTTTTGTTATCGCAAAGTACATGGAAACGTCTTCTTTCTGCTGCAGGCCTTCTCAGTATTCTTTGTTTGTGTGGCGTTTACCTCGGACATCATTTGCCTCCTCTTCATCCCAGTGCAATGGCTGTTCTTTGCTGCCAGTACCTATGTGTGGGTCCAGTATGTTTGGCACACAGGTAAGACTTCCTGTGTTTGGTGTCCTTAATGTTTTTAAGTTTGGGAATATCAGATGTTGAACGTATCTTTTGGTAGTGAGTTTGTGTCTAAATTTTTTTTATTCCTGCTTATTTAAGTGATAGACTAAATAAAACATCCTTTTAAGCCTTGTTTCATACAAATTCTTCCAATATGTGTTGAATGCTTCATAAAAAAGCAGGTGTGAAAAGTGTTGTGTAAGACCCATGCACACGGTGTTGTCTTGCTTACAAATTTATATTTTATTTCTCAGAATTTTGCATGCTGTATGTAAGTGAGCTGCGCTCTGCAGATTAGCTGTCAGACTGATTTAGTGGCATCTGCCCGTGTTGACCAAAGGCCAGGTGTCGCATTGAAATTTTAGTGCCTGTAGGGGGAGGAGGAGGAATGATCTCAGACATTCAGAACTATAAGATGTCACAGGAGTATTAATATCTTGTGGCACTCCGCAGCTCGGTGTTGAATGTTTGGAGTGTGGTGTTGCCAAAAAAACAATGGAGTCTATATCCGGGCACACTGTGTGTGTATAGACAATGGCACGGCAAGAAAAACCTTAGCTAGAGAAGTTAAACGTTTTTCAAAATAGTGTAGTAGTTGTGTTCATTAACTAATAATAATAATCTTTATTGTTATGATTAAAGTTTGATTTTGCCAACACAAATAGAAATATAGTGTTGTTAGACATAAACACATTTATAGCGTCACATTGATGCAACATGATATTCCTTATTTGCCACTGTTTTATTAAATAATATGTAGATAATAAAGTATTGGATCATTTTTTGAATAGCTCTTGTTATTGAAATAGTTCAGGTTTGACATACAGTACTGACATCTTTGTTGTGCTTTGTTTTGTTTGTCCAGAGAGAGGTGTGTGTCTCCCCACTGTGTCTCTATGGATACTGTTTGTGTACATAGAGGCAGCCATCAGATTCAAAGACCTGAAGAACTTTCATGTGGACTTGTGTCGTCCTTTTGCGGCACATTGGTAAGCATCTGTTGCATTTGAAGCCGAGATGGGTATCACTTTCAGGAAACTGATGGTGTTATGCCATTGTTACTGCCAAGATGACTAAAAATGTAGAAGTGTGATTTTTATAAGACTTAATGTGACTGAACATTAAGCTCTTTTCTAAACAAATTTGTGATCCAAGCTATGAACTTACAAAAAACTGATCTAAGGGTCCATTCTGCATGTAGTTTGTACTTCCATGAGAAGTGTTACTGATGTCTGAAGCGTATGCTTTTCCTGAAACCTTTTGAATCAAATAATGAAGCACATTTAGTTAACCTTTATTTTGAAATTTGTCTGCTTTACAATGCATTCTCCTGAAACATAATACATTGAAAACATGTTTTAAATCGTGATTTAGTTCTGAAACTTATTACTTTTGTGTCCATCTCTGTAGCATTGGCTATCCCGTGGTCACCTTGGGCTTTGGCTTCAAGAGTTACGTTAGTTATAAAATGCGCCTGAGAAAACAGAAGGAGGTGCAGAAGGAAAACGAGTTTTATATGCAACTGCTACAGCAGGCTCTGCCTCCCGAGCAACAGATGCTTCAGAGGCAAGAGCGAGAAGCAGAAGAAGGTATGATTGAACCCTCTTGTACTGCTTACACACACAAAGCTCTGTTCTATCACTACAGTGGTTATTGAAGAGTTTGTGAAGTTGTTGTACTTCATCAGGGTTTTCTGTTTCGTTTTTGGGGTTGAGTCAGCAAACTATTTTTTTCTGCAAAGAATCTACTGAAAGTGAAACATGAACTAAATAGTTTAACTTTTTTACTGTAGTCTTAATATTTAATCTAAAATAGGGTAATAAAGGAGAAAGAGGAGTTGGAGGTACTTCAAAGTGTACAGACGGAAGATAAAATCAATAATACGCTGCTAACTGAGCAGACAGACTGATAATTATTCTGACATTGTAAAAACAAGAGGGTTGTGGTAACTGTTTGCTTCGTCTCGTTCATATAAGACACATAGATTACTGCTCCATCCTCCTCGTCACATCTGGTAGAAGTTCAAGGTTGCACTGGTGAGCCAAATTATAAAAATAGGCTCCCAGAAGTTTTATCACGTTCACTAAACATTTACAGTCTGAAGCTTAAAGTTAAGTTTAAAACAATATAAACATTATGAAGTTGGATTAGTTTTGTTTCGCTGATGACAACAGAAGCTATTGAGGACAGACGTGTGATGGCTGAGGTGCTTTGTGATGTTTTGTGTCAGCTGAACAAGACAAAATGAGTAATCATTTAGACATATTCAGTACTGATTATTTATTTTAGTGCATTTACAGATTGGTTAGTTGATATTACAGCTATTTAAATCTGGTTGTAGTTTCAGTAAAACTAATGTTATAACTGTCAGCTTTGTGTGTTTTAAAGTTCTCTTTGTGTTCTGTGTCACTTCATGCCATTAGATGATTGAAAGCTAAGCTGAAATAGAATTATATTGTTTTGTTGTGCATCTTTTTATTTTAATTCAAACAAGTCTTTAATGTGTTAACTCACATCTGCAGTGTAAACCTTCTCTAATCAAAATCTATGGTTGCAGGTGCACCTGTTGCACAGTTTAAGCAAACACACTGTGCACACAGCGATCATGACATTGTCATTGGCTGTGATAGATAAAGACTCGTAACGAGTTCTGTTTTCCAGACTAAAAGTCGCTGGAAGATTTTTTTTAAATTAGTTCACCATCAACAAACAAATTTACAGAATGGCAGATGTGGATCCTCTGTGTTTGGATACATTTGGTTTCAATATAAGACCTAAATAATTCTGTGTCAATGTTTTCTTATATACTTTAAGTAATAATGTCATGTATTTTGTGTATTTCCTTCTTCTTTATTCATATAGCAGCTGCAGCTAAAGGAATATCTGAAGTAGACACACCTCCAGTGTCACAGAATGGCGGCCCAGCCAATAAAAAGGTGCCAACGCCGTTGCCTGAGCTGGAGTATAAAGAAAAAGGGAAAGAAGGAAGAAACAGTGGGGAAAATAAAAAGCAGCACAACAGCATCCTTCCATCATTAGTGGACTCTAAAATCCCAGAGATGGAGTATATTGAGAACCATATGAACAACAAGAGACTGACCACAGAGCTGGGAAGCACAGAGAACCTGTTGATTAAAGAAGACAACAGTTCATCCAGTTCCTCCTCCTCATCATCCTCCTCAAAAAATTACAAAAATGCTAGCAGCAACGCTGCAATACTCAATTCCTCTCCACGTGGTTATAGCGCCACAAATGGCAGCGTGCCCTCCTCTGCACAGTCCTCTTCCACAGGGAAAAACGATAAGAAGCATAAGTTACCAGTGGGGAAGGGGACATCAGGGGGTTCACACAAGGATCCAACAGACAACTGTATCCCCAACAACGAGCTGAAAAAACCAGAAGGACTTGTTAGGTAAGAAGAAGGCTCATGCCTTATTCACAGTACTCATGGTTCTTGTGCATCTTTATGTTTGCTCTGAAAAATCCCGAGTTTGACAATTTGGTTTCAGATTTTTCTGAACGACTGTTATAACAGCTTATAAACAGCACAGGTTCAAACCAATATCTGCAGCATCAGTGTTCACTTTAAAATCTCAGGGTGATGTATAACGGGTAATGGCTATCTCTTAAAAATAATGTTGAAAGTTTTCAAGGACTTCAAATAGGCAAGAGAAAACGTCTGTTACTGCTTCAAAATGAAGGGGAGCAGAATTTTAATGAAAAAGTAATGTTTTTTTTTCAAGCTACAATCATGTATTACAAAATGTTTGCGTCCCGTGTTTATGCGTCTACCTGGCACAGATTGGAGCAGGATATTAAAAAGTTGAAGGCGGACTTGCAGGCCAGCCGGCAGGTGGAGCAGGATCTACGCAGCCAGATTGGCTCGCTGGGCAGCGCTGAGCGCTCCATTCGCACCGAGCTGGGTCAGCTGCGCCAGGAAAATGAGTTGTTGCAGAACAAGTACGTTATGCAACTCATTTCCTTAATTAAAAAAGTAGTGAACACATAGGCTCATCCTGCTGTTTGCTAACATGCTCTTTGTATATGTTCATGAATGCACCAGGCTCCATAATGCTGTGCAGGCGAAACAAAAGGACAAACAGGCCGTGGGCCAACTGGAAAAGAGGCTCAAAGTGGAGCAGGAGGCTCGAGCTACTGCAGAGAAGCAGCTCGCAGAAGAAAAGAAGCGCAAGAAGTTGGAAGAAGCTACAGCAGCCAGAGCAGTAGCACTAGCAGCAGCTTCCAGGTTGGTGCGGGGTCCATTCATGTGAAACTAGGGATGCGAATCTCTTGTGTCGTTCGATTTGATTACGATTTTTGGTGTCACGATTCGAATCAAAATCGATTTTTCGATTCAGAAATGATTTTTCTATTGAAATGGTCATAAATTTTGTTTCATTTATGTAACTGACGAGCTGAAAAGATTAAACAACAATGTAAACCAATAGAACAGTTATTTAAAACAATCATTTTAGGTTCCTTACTTTATCAAATCGTTTTGCATAATTTTATATTTATACCAAAAAATAGGAAAAAAAGATATAGGAGTGCATAAAATTCTGTAACTTAAATTACCAGGATTAAGTTAGCTTAGTTGCCTGAATAAAATAAATAAATAAAAAAAAAAATCTAGGAACAAATAATCCATCCATCATCTTTATCCACTTCTTCCTTTACGAGTCACGGGGGTCACTGGTGCCCATGTCCAGCCATCACTGTGTGAGAGGCGGGGGACACCTGGACTGGTCTCCAGTCCATCACAGACGAATAATTCAAAATATATAAATACAAAAGTAAACAGACTTCACCCTACCATAGTATATTAAACTTTAATTCAACATAAAATACAGACTTCAGCCTACCATAGTATATATTAAAGACGAAGAAGCGGGCTGTCTCCTTCCTCAATTCTAGCAGACTCCATTCAGATAAAGGGAGCTGGCTAACTAGCTTGCTGTACGGTGGCCTACACGGCTCAATTCTATGGTGGCCAAGCGGGGAGTAAGAGTGGAAAAAATGTAAAACTTAAACACATTTTAAAATCGATTTATGGGCCTTTAGAATCGATTCAGAATCGCCAGAACTAAGAATCTAGATTCTTTAAAAAAAATCAAATTATTTTCTGCACCCCTATGTGAAACTAACACTTAAACAGTTTAATTCTTTTAACTCATCTGTTATTTACACTGATGTCATTTTCTGCTTTCATACCTCTTGAGTTCATATTGGTAATTTATTTCATTGTTCTTTTTCCTCAGAGGAGAGTGCACAGACACGCTGAGGCGACGAATCACAGAATTAGAAACGGAGTGTAAAAAATTAACAATGGACATCAAGCTGAAGGAGGACCAGATACGAGAGCTCGAGCTAAAAGTTCAGGTAGGTTTATTGAGTTAATTTTTGTAGCATTAAAATGACAACAACTTCAGTTTATGTGTGTATTCTGTTGTTTTGTTTGTACTATTTGCTGTTGTATGATTTCAACAGTTCATTGCCAGTACTTTTACACTTTCATTTGATTTTATGGTTTTCATGCTTGTATGTTAGTGTACAGCATTTTTGTCCAATGGTGTTGTTTTTAAAGTGCTTTATAAATAAAGTTGTATTGTATTGAGTGTGTTTACGCCAACACTTGTTCTCTGGTTAGTGTTGCATCATTCGATTAGGTTTGAAAATCTGAAGCGCCTCCTTCAGTTCTGTGTATTCTGCTGTTTCTGCTTTCCTCAGTGTATTTGAGTCGATGAACAGATGCTGGAATTCATCTGTCTCCCCCGCCACCTTGATTATTATAATAATCTGCCTGAGTGAAGTAATATTTGTGTGGCCACGACAGTGAAATGTAAATCAATAGCTATCTCCAGAGTCCACAGAATCCGAGTTCTTCCCGCTGACGTCCATATTGATTTTGTTCGTGTGTGTGTGTGACTGGCTTACCAACTCCCGACTTTGAAGCCTATCACAAATGTTCATCTAACAGTCTGACCACAGCTCTTGTTTTACTTCCAGGAACTTCATAAATATAAGGAAAATGAAAAAGACACAGAGGTGCTAATGTCAGCACTGTCAGCAATGCAGGACAAAACTCAGCACCTCGAAAACAGCTTGAGTGCAGAGACCAGGATCAAACTGGACCTTTTTTCTGCACTCGGAGACGCCAAGAGACAGCTGGAGATTGCACAAGGTTTACTGACTGTTTATACACGTGTAATAATTACAGCCTAAATGGTCTTTTTGTGAATTTGTTCTGACCTCTGTTATCTGAATGTGACCTGATTTGTCGGACTTCAGGTCAGATCCTGCAGAAGGACCAAGAGATCAAAGACTTGAAGCAGAAGATCGCAGAAGTGATGGCCGTCATGCCCAGCATCTCTTACACAGCCGACACCAGCAGCATGACCCCCGTGGCCCCTCACTACTCCTCAAAGTTCATGGACACCAATCCCTCTGGTTTGGACCCCAACGCTTCTGTTTACCAACCCCTCAAAAAGTGAACGATCTTTTTTTTTTTTTTTTTTTAATTTTTATTTATTTATTTTTTTTCTGTTTTCCCCTCGCCCCTCTCCTCCATTCGTTCTCTTGACATTTTTACTTCTGCAGGCTCCGTTTTGTTGTGGCTGAGAACTTTTTTTCTGTTCTCTTTTTGCCATTTCAGAAGGATGTTGTATTATGTGACTGTGTTTGTTGTAGTTAAAACAAAAGACAAAAAAAAAAAAACCTTACAAACATCCCACAACATCAAAAAAGCCCCAGTTTGGTTGTTTTTTCTAGTGAAACCTCACAGATTTGGGTGCATCTTCATCTCAAAGGTGTTACGCTCCTCAGCGCTGCAACTAATTATCAGCTTTTCTGTCGTCGGGAGAAGCAACAATTTGATTTTGCCCTATACATATCACTATTCTACATACAGACTCATCCTAGTTTATTTGGTCTCATACAGTACATTTGTACAACCAGAGGAATGTAGTGCACCGATGGCACAAGCTTGCCTCTTGTATTTAATTCATTCCTGGAACCCAAATTTTGACAGAAAATTTGTTCCGCTTTGGCGTGCGGTTCAAAATTATTTTTTTGTGTGTTTCTTCATATTCTGAGTTTATTTCAAGATAATGGAAAAGTTGGCATCAAAAATCAGGAAGAATCACTTGCATTGTAAGCAGAATCTTCAAACTGAATCAATATAAGCTGATACAAAACATAAGCACTAGTGACAAGTTTGGTTTCCCTCTAAACCCACGCTTGGTTGTATTTTTTTTAAGTATTTGAGCTGTTCATAGATGCCGAGAGTTGTGTGTTCAGCTCTGCATAATGATCACAGTGCCTTTAGTTGAGGACATGAGACACCCCCACAGCTTCTGAAACAGTTTTATAATCCTCAAGCTGGAACGGATGATTCCTTTCAGTGTATTAAAGAGGGACGAATTCTCTTCTAATTGATTTGCTTCTTTGTAGACTTCCTACTGATTTCCCCTCTAATAGAAAGCTGATTATTATTCACACTTCACAGACAAACTTTGTTCAACTGGCCAGTAATAAATCCCAAATTAATTTGCACATAACTTCTGTATGGGAAGGGAAACCTCCACGGTCTGCTGCTTATCACATGTCTGAACAAACGGCTGCTTAAAATGTTTTGGTTCAGCAGCTGCCCTGGGTTCTTGTTTTAAAAGGGAATACTGTAAAGATGGAGTGTGTAGCATAAAGGATAAAAAATGAAAATGCCAACTTTAATGTTCCAGATAACAGAATTTATTCTTCCTCTTCAGTTTTGTGTGCCAAGACTGTAATGCCCGTTATCTCTAATGTGTTCAAGAATGTACTGCAAATACATTTGCTCTCACGTTTGTTCATTTTCAGTATAAAAATCGTGTTTTGGGTGTTGAGCAGGCAGAAAATCTGGACACCTGTTGTAGACGTTTGTCTTTAAAAGTAAAAGAGTAGGAAGTCATGCTTTGTTTCGTGAATGTGACCTCATTTACAATTTCGGACAATCGACAGTTGTAACTCAGTTATTTTTACTCCTGTTTCTGGTATTGTTTATTTTTCACC